TAATACGTATCTCATGTAACTAACAACATCCCTGGCAACAGGGGCGGTGGGGTAGCCTAGTGGTTAAAGCGTTGGCTCGTCACGCCGAAGACCCGGCTTCGAATACCGCATGGGTACATTGTGTGTAACAAAAAGTACATTGTGTGAAGCCCATTTCTGGTGTCCCCCCGCCGTGATGTTGCTGGAATATTGCTAAAAGCGGCGTAAAACTAAACTCAGTCAGTTAGTCAGTCCTTGGCAACAACTGTTCTTGTACCGTGAAGAAATATATATCATATAACTTTTCATATATGTATACAGAAACACTATGAAAACACAACAATGATTAAAAACGATCTTATAGTGATATAATTCATTTGTTCTCATTTTCTTTGACCATTCACATTTTTGTGAAAAGATGTGACTGATTTCAGTAACAAATTCGATTGATATTTGTGTCGAGTTACACATCGTCTAATTTTACAAGAAACTGCTCTTAAACACATAAAACATCCTAAACATATCGTCCGTTGTGTGTGCTTCTACCTAGACCCGTTATCTTTGGATAAAGCATGTGCCTGTTAAACGTCAACGTCAGAGAAAATCCAGTTTCGATTATCCACCTTCGCACACTACGTTGGGTGTAATAGGCAAATAGAGGTGATAATATATGACTGAAAATGATAATACTATCAGTATGTTAATTTCACCTGCTTAACCACTGTGTTAATATATGAGTCTTTTTCAGTCAACAGAATAACTTCTCTTAAAGTCAATAGGACCACAGCGACAGTTTCATCCAGAAACGCCGCATCATCGTTTTTGTCATTGTCAACGACATCAATGTGCTTCTTACTGGGGTTTTACACAAGGGGGGTTAGCTGGTGTTTTGTACCTATGTCTGAATATCCCTTAACGAGCTTTAACCTTGTTCACCCCAATCATGTGTATCTCGTTACTGCGCAGGGACGCTGCAGACCCCTCCCTCCCCCTCCTCCTGCCTCATCTACTGCAACTCCTCCCCCTTCCCCCTCTGAATCAACAACCATACACTTCTATATGTGTGCAGTGACCGGAATTAAATCACCAGTGATGAACAGCTGAATAATTCAGAATTCCTCCGCTATACAAAGGAAGATGATAATACCATCCACGTTGCCTGGCCTCAGAGTAAACATATTCCTTATGAACATGTATATTGTATATGATTGATAGGTTCGTGTGCAGGGTATTAATACATGGTTTCCTTGAGGTTATACTCGGTGTTTAGTCATGGTTGGCCGGCAGTGTTGGTTATGATTAAATTTCATTTTTCTCGGAGTTCTCCCTGGAATTACCTTGTACCGCGTGGACCGAAACTGCGTTATAAAGAGACGAGAAAAGAAAGCTTATGTCGTCAGATACACACTGATATGATTCTCCTAGTTGAGCCTGTGGCAGCAGGCCGTCTAACAAGGAATATTTTGTAAGCGTAGGCATTATCGGAGCATAGAGCATAAACAGAGCAATTACAGCCCACAGATTGTTCATCACAATGTAAAGAGGGTGTCTACCTGAACGGTATAGACTCTCTCACACATCAGCAATTCTGCATCCTTAAACGTTACATACACAGCAACGGCGTATCATTATCCGTCTAGACCAATACACCACACGCAACTTTCATATAATGTATTTTTCAAATACATCAACGCACTGAATTCCATCGGACGGAAGTTGTGTGGTTATAATTTCTATATATAAGCACAATACCATTCCATAAAAAGAGAACAAAAAGGTCGATCAATCTCGGCGTATTTAACATCAATATCAGCTGGAGAGTTATGGACCGTGGTTGATGGTTCATTGCCATGGTAGTCTAATATGACCCTTTGACCAACCGTGCTGGTCTCACAACCGTAGCATATGTGGTGGTCAGATCATACTATTATCCTGCGTCCAATATTACTATTGTCAAAGGACCGTATTTAATTTACATCTAAATGACCGCTGTTCCCTCGTCCAGTGACGGCCTGTCCACTGAACTTATCAGTTTGATCAACAAAGTGATCGCTAATGGTGATATCTCTTTTAATCACGATCTCCCATTTTCAGCCACGTGGAGCGAACACACTCATTGTGTTCCCAGTGCCTGGTAGCTTGGATACTTAACAATATGTACTTTCACAATGACATTAACATCAAAACAGATAATCACGGTATTACTTGTACATGTTGATTGGGATATGATCATGGAACTTAACTGATGAACAAAAACACTCGTAACGTTACAACCGTTGTTAATATAGAAACAGCCATTCGTCATATGACAGATAAATTCAAATATGTATTAAAGAAATTGAATATCGTATCATGCCATCATTTTACTAGTCTGTCTTACAGTCCCTAAACCATAATATTTCCCTGCAACCTAGCCCTCCCTGCAATGCTAAAGCCCTAAATGAAGCAAGTTTAGATTTCCTCAGGTTCTGAATCTCTGGTTTCCCTGAGGCCCCTTTTCAATTGAAATGGGTTTATTTGTTACAATCAAAATTATATACATTCAGAGACTAAGCATTAGTCTATCATTTCACTTGATACCTGAACTTCACAGGAAGTCTAAGCGTTGAACCCTCAGGGTACACAAGATCGTATGAACAGTTTTCAGTAAAGCTGTGATGTTTCATCTTCGTCACAATAACAGTTCCTGTTACACACAGTACCAGGGTTTACCTAGCAACAGGCTATAAATGCCAAGCAGATGAAACACTATTTCTTATACTTTGTACTTAATGTTTGTCATTAGTAAACCGTATTAATCAAGCCAGGTCACACTTGACAGGCAACCAGTCAATACTGACTGGTTCATTCGACTCACACAGAGACATTGCGCATCACTCAAACGTAAGTCACAAGGCTCTTCACTTTTGTCTTTTTCGTCCATTAAAAAACATTTGTCTCTAATGTGTCTCATGTCGCAGGTGTTCCCCGCTATTATCTTACCTGTAATTTGTGCGTGTCAACATCATCGCACAGCCCACAACTCTTCCGAACAATTTCAACAGACGCCTTTTGTTAACTCAATTACAAAAGAACGTTTCTTAACCTCATCTATCCACCATTACGTTTAAAGAAGATGCGCGCGAATGTCGTCTCGCGTGTAACAGAAGTGTCACTTCGAACGTAACACTATCCGCGTTTAAAGGAACTCAACATAGTGCAGATTCACACCTGTTCCCCAAAAGGAATAAATGAACACAGGTAACATGCAGTCTGTTAAACCAAGGTAGCCCCTCATCTCACAGTCCCTACTGTAGTCCATGAACATCGTTTAACAGTCATGTCTATGCATAATACATGTAAACAATTTTATCAACAGGCCTTTTCACAGTTTCAACAAATGCTGATCAGTAAAAGCCAACGTCTCAATACACCACCCTGTGGAAGACACACTTGGTAAAGTTCAAGTTTCTTTCCTACTTACAACTGAAACGGATAAATTATTTACACCACATATCGTAACATCTCCCTGAAGACTGGCATGTTGACGCTGTCAGAAGTGACCTACAGCTTGTATGGTCTGAGGAATACTGTTCAATTGCTTTTATCGGCTTCATTTGACTTGGCAATAAAATTAAAATTCTCAGCGGACCATTAGCTGATAAACTATTAAAAGTAGGGGAGATCGTTATGCAGTGGTCCAAAATGTCACGAATTCGACACGATCGTTCTAGTGTCAGGAAAGGCAGATCAAATATGATATTATAGTCCGTGTAGTTGAAAGCTGGTTGTATTTACGTGCGTGTGCTGTGGTGTTAGATCTCTTGGTATCACATACACCTGTTCATGACTAACAGCCTTTCAAAATGGCCTTTTCTCAGGGACAGATCACGAGGACACAATGAATGTGCATGGACGTTGAATGTTGGTATGAAAACATATTACCAAGGACCAAGCCAAATGGTGATTGAACACGTTTGTGTGTGGCGATCAAATTGGCTCTCTAAACTTCATAGATCGTTTAACTCGTTTAACATTTCAAAATTATTATCATTTTTATTAAATGATACTTATGTATTACCATAATAAACACATTATCAATATCTACCTTAACAGTCTGGACACGAATGGTTCTGAATTATATTACCAACATATAACCATATAAGATATAAGATCCCTTGTTATCCCATAACTGTTGTTGTTTTAACATGTACATATATAGCTGTCTGTTCCTAATTGTTTCATTCACATGATGAAGGAGTAAGAACATACTTCGAAACGTCGTGACCCTTCACAATAAAGAAGTTGACATCCATAAAATTCTTGCCTTTATGTGTTATCACTTCCAAATGCCCTTCAAAGACTCTACACCTGATATTGGTCCTACACATCACTGGAAAATCTTAAGTCCAACTTGTAGAGTAGCATCATCTGATAGACAACAGCTTCGTGAATGAAAAGAATAATACATGTTGCCATCAATGATTTCTCATGTTTTTATTCTAAAGTATTCTAATACGGCGCAGTAACGGTATCCCAACAGTCTCCAGCCACGCGGTACTGTCCTGGGATTAGATATGGGGTTCGTCAGGGAAGTTATTTGATGACTTAACTTCAAAACTTTATCCCCATGTGTACTTGAGTCGACATACCTGTCATATCCATCTATCATATCCACCTACCTGTGTTATCAGCAATGTGCTATCGTGAAGATACTACACGGGTGCGCTGCTCCTTTCGACAGATAATTATCTCGTTGAAGTGTTTATTACAAAACGTATAGTCAGGTACACTTGGATAAGACACCAGGTGCAAATGTGTCTGTACCTATGTCTGTACATCTGTATTTGTGTCTGTTATCTGTGTGTCTGAATATATGAATCTGTGTATATAAGTCAAAGTTGGAGGTGTCTCTCCGGTTGTATTTCAAGGGGTTTGAAACATGGTCCACCCAGTCTACAGTCTCTAAATATAAACCCATGACATAATACGCAATCCTGTCTGTGACAATATCTTCCTTTGGGTGAATCTACCAGACTCACCTGTACCAGGCCAAACCCTCATTGTAGTTTCTATCAAAAAAGTGTGGCTCCGGCCCAGTTGCCCGAATTCGGGGGTGAATCCTGAGGAACTCCAGTAACGCCCGCGTTCCTCCTTTCTTTACTCCAATAATAATAGCATCAGGGAGCTTCTTTGTAGCGTTTGATACTAGGGTGGGGTTAGTCCTGTAACCCTCCTTGAAACCAGAACTCAGGGGGGTAACTCCAGGGGGGACACCCCCAACAGTCCCATCATCATCATCCACGTAGATGTTGCTGTCACTTAATTCCCCCGGGGGATGCTTGTTATTATCCAGATGACCCCCGGCGAAATGTCCAGAGTCCGGCGACACACTAAAATCTTTATAATTTGCATCTTGAAGCATTCTGTTATGACGAATGACTTTTTCCGGCGCATGGACATTCGATAGGGAATTCCTGACCGCTATGACGTAATCGTTGCCAGTTAGAGGCACGGCTCCTATGACTGCCAGATTGTACACACTTAACATCAATAAAACACACAGCATTATGCCTGCCAAAATCACTCGAGGCCTACATCGGAGACAATATTTTAGCATATCCAAAGGCACCAAGTGAATAGGCGACTGTCGTCGGGCTGAACACAACCCATGGTCCTGTCCCGCCTGCTTCTTGCGTTGCTGTCATTCCATATCTCATTACAAGTGGGCACTCGGAGTGTCTACAAGTTGTATCACGGTGGCCTGTCACTGTTTGAACACTTGTAGTCCGTAATCTCACATTTTAACATAACTACAAACTCCCCACCTCTTGCAAGGCCAGTCGGTTCCCTACACTGTTAAATGTTATCGTCGCGCGAGTAAGCTGTGGTCATGTGACTTGGCGCTGCGCATTGATTGGTCGAAATGTTCCGGAGGCAGTCCCGAGCGGGGATGTGAATGGAAGCCTGTGAGCAACGCTACATGTGAACCTCAGTGATTTGAACGACATGCTCTGGCTACCACCTATCCTGCAGCTACAAACCTTCTTTAACTGAGGCACTCGCTAAATGATGTCTTACAACGGACGAGGAGAGCGCCCGGAGATTCGGAAAAATCGTGACACGAGAGAACACTAGTTAGTGCTTGATGTTTCAAAACATCACTGGCCGTGCGCAGTAAACACAAAGTATTGATGTTCAAACAAATTTAACACTAATCGAGATGAATTTACCGTATAAATATGCCATTGTCATTCTATATATTTTCATTTGATTAAATAGAAGGCTGTAGAATTTAACTGTCAGTTTTCTTTAAGAAATCCTAAGGCCGAGATTGTATCGATTGTCGGACGTTTAATTTAAATGTTTTAAACGTTCTACGGTGTTCCCATTAAAGCATACAATTTAAGATTACCGTTGACATTTACAAACAGAAAACTCATTTCCGTGGGTTAGTATCCAGGAGCCTGTCAAACCTGAAAATATTAAGTTGCCATGACAACAATAAAAGACGATAGTAAGAGTGTTGGGATTTCGTGATCATATAAAGTTAATAATGTTTCATGGTCGTCCCAAATGCAATTAGGCTATGTACGCAACCCAATGATTACCTGAATATCGCTCGCGAGATTGGACGATCAATGCTATAAGGAAATCTCGTAGGCCATCTGAGAGTCTATTAGGCCGTTAGACAATGCGCGAGAGAGTCTCTTTGCACGGGCAGTCAAAGGGAGATAATTCCGTCATTACGGCGCTTTGTCTATGCAGAGCATGCAGAAAGAGGACAAGTGTGTGGTGCGGTAGAGTGCCCATCGACAGTTTTCGATGCCTATCGCAAAGAGCAGAGTACAAGACCGTTACGCTAGACACACTATCGGGAGGTACTTGAAATGTTTCTCCAACTGCGGATGTTTTTATTAAACGCCAAAGATTCATACTTTTATAATTACGAGAACTTGACGTGACTGATGAGACAAAAATTCGGCAAACGCCAAAGTTTTGCCAGAAATTTCCGTTCAATTAACACATGAATTATCTTAGAATGTGGCGAGACAAACGTGGGGAAATGCCGGGCTGAGATACTTTGCTGCTTCTCTATTGGGATCCTAAGTGCATACTTTTTTTTTGGAAAAAAGAACACAGCCTATTTGCATACGAAGACCGCCAGTACTTAGCATTGAGAAACACAGCCATATATGCGCATACCATGAACTTGTTAAACGGTCAGATGACAAGAACGTGGACAATACACTGACATCATACATTTATACCACAGACGTTCTTCAGATCACGGGCTCCAAGTTACCGTTAACGATAGGCTGTTTGTAGACATCATCAACGTCTTGTGACGTTAACATCTCTGGACGTGACATGGTATCTCGACGCCATGTTAACCACCTTTGACCGTCTGGTAGTGACTGCCAACATCTATGTTCCCCATATCAGAGATCCCAGACGTAACTGTCACCATCTCTTGATTCCCTACACGTGACGGAAGTGACCGCTAACATCACCTTGATTCCCCGGAAGTGATCGTTAACATCCCCTGATTCCTTGGAAGTGACCGTTAACATCCCCTAATTCCCCGGAAGTGACCGTTAACATCCCCCTAATTCCCTGGAAGTGATCGTTAACATCCCGCAGTAAACTGGTTCGAAACCCTGGCCTGTATGATTATAAGCCTTCATCGTGGATTTCGAACTCTTTTTAACATGAACAATCTGTGCCCGTATATGTAAGGAGATACGCAGCGACTGGACGTCTGAAGTGCCGTTAAAAACAATTCAATCAGAATATTTCAGACGTAACGAACATTACTACTATGAGTGAGTGAGTGAATTCAATTTTACGCCGCTTTGACCAATATTCCAGCAATATCACAGCGGGGAACACCAGAAATGGGTTTCGTGCATTGTATCCATGTGGGGAATCGACCTCGGGTCTTAGGCGTGACGAACGAACGCTTAAACCACTAGGCTACCCCACCGCCCCCATTACCACAATTCATAGTAGTTATACCATTGTCATCCTCACAGGGCATTTTCAGTGGCTGAACCAAATGTCTAGTTATTGGGGTTCGTACGTAAAAGGCTACGTATCAAGAATACATTGGGGGATAACAACTTAACAATAAACTCGCGGTAATCTCTGGTCCAAATGAAATGACCTGGATTCAAATACTACTGGCTAAACGTGACCCAGATGCAATTAGTGACCACCTGCGGTCGATTCAGTTCCTTGAGAAAAAACTTGACCCAGATTCAAATCCTCGTTCCAAAACGTGACCCACATGTGATTCCATCAGGTCAGGCTGCAGATACAATCGGGTTTGTAAAACTCCACGGCACGCCCAGTTTCACCTGCTCATTACAGTGTCAGGTCTTACGGAAGTGCCTGTTTAACGATGGAGTGACTTCCCCTTGAGACAGTAGTCCAACATTCAAGTACTCATCTCGTATGTATGTTATATTTCATGGAGGATGTCACTGTACGTGCTGTCGTTGTAAAGGTTACGAACCCGGACTGTGTTTCACTTTGTTGTGTGGTAGTGATATGTGATGACAAAATATATCAATGAAGTTTGCTGAAATATTATGCTAGTGAAATGTCATAAGACAAGTATATTTTTCCTTAACTGTGTCGACAGCGCCACCTGGTGCCCTGTTCTTTCCCTCATCCCTGCAGATGGCGTCGACTGTCACTCAGTGAGTGAAAACTGCCGTCCACCCAAATTCCTCCCCCACCCAGCTACTCAACTTTACTGGCCTTAAAACACAACGACTCGCCTCATCCAACCCTTTACCACCTACCGACAACACCGACAACGAACCGCCATCCCAGGGGTGCGAGAGGTGATTGTCACAACATCACCGTCGTTGTCTCACACCCCTTCCCATCATCCCCATCAACATCCCCATACTGATTGCCACAGCAACGCCGTCACCCCCTATCCCCAAAGATACTAATTTTCTCCGCCCTTCTCCCTGAAGCACCCCACCTTATCCAAGCTGTCACACCCAAACGCCAACCCGACCCCGATCACGATGAGACCCATCCCATGGGCCACGGCAGTCGTGATGGCGTTATTCCGTACCTCCGAGCAAACTCCACAACCATCTGCATCTTTCGGACAAAGCTTGGTAACTAAAACCAGGTCAATATGTTTGTCAATGTCTTCAATCAGACAATAACAGCTACATATACTTCTTCGACTACCGTGAAGTCGAAACGACTCTATTACGTATCAAATTCCAGCATTCTGTCCCAAGAGACCCCCTGCGGCAAAACAGAATTTGATGCCTGCTGATTGGCCAATTCAGAGTTCACAGAAGCTTGCTAAATGTGTCGGTAGTCTTACCCTCTGCACGTGCAGACTGGCGCGCTCAGTCGAGCCGGACTCATTACCCACAGATTTCATTATTTCATTATCAGTAAAGCTAATGAATGTGTTTCCACTCGCACAGAGAAAGATGTATTTCTTTTTTTGGACATTAATTACTGGCACGATTTAGTATGGCCTTTGATAGCAGATGCCAACTGCCGCCCTTTCTAATGACCTCTTTATAGCTGCAATATTGACTGCTGTCTGGGATCAGTACGGATAGGGGTAGGATGGGATGGAGACGGTGGGATGGGATCTTGTAATGTTTAGGGAGGATCTGAATGGGAGATGAATGACTGAGTACGGTTTTACGCCGCCTTTAGTAATATTCCAACAATGGTAACGTCGGAGGACACTAGAAATGAGCTTCACCCATTGCCCCCAAATGTGGAATAGAACTCGGGTTTACGTCCTGACGAGCGAACGCTTTAATCACTATGCTACCCAGCCGCCCCTGGGTGGGAAATGGTTGGGAGGGATGAGATCGGGCTATTGAATGGAATAGGAGTTGAATCGAGGGAGGGGGGAAAGGGGGGTATAGTGGGACAGGATGGGATATGGGAAAGAGGAATGGAATAGACCGGGTGGAGGGAACACTCTTTGAAAGGAATGTACGCTTTGAAGACCTAAATGTAGGTAAGTTGGCCAACTTAACAGTAGCACGCGCATACGCATGGTCAATTTGGTGCGGACACTACGGGGAAATGAGGAGGAGGTTTTAGGAGGAGGATACCACAGTTAAGCAGTTTAGGAGTTCTGTCACGCAGGGACTTTTGGTGTTCTGACACAGTCTGGAAGTTTGGGTGTTTCGTCAGTCATCAGGTTTGGATCTCCAATCACAATCAGTTGCAAGTAGTACAGGTGTTCTGTCAATCATAGTACAGGTGTGCTGTCAATGATCAGACCCGTGAAGATCCGGGTTAAAATTGGTCTTCAGTAACCCACGGGATCGGGTGGTCAGGCTCGCTGACGTGGTTGACACATCTCATCTTGTCCCAATTGCGTAGATTGATGCTCATGCTGTTGATCACTGGATTATTTGGACCACACTCGATTATTTACAGACCGCCGATATATAGCCGGAATAGTGATGAGTGCGGCGCAAAACAACAAACCAAACTGCCAGTCATCAAGTCTGGGTCTTCTATCACAGTCCGGTAGTACAGGTGATCTTGGTCAGTCTGGCAGGACAGTGGTCTATTTCAGCCTTGTGGATTATCTCAGACAGTCCGCCAGTATGGATAATCTGCATCCCAACCACTACGTCCAGCAGATAACCTGGTCGAACCAGCCAGCGTGGCAGAATAACTTCAGTGAACGGGACCGTGAATACTTACGCTTAGTCTCTAAATACATATCATTTTGGTAGAAACAAAACAACTGCATTTAAATTGAAAAGCTATCCCAGTGAGCTGGATGATTCAGAACCTGACTTGCTTCATTTAGGGCATTTTCATTACGGTAAGGGACTGAGAGGCTGACTGGGGT